TGTACTTTTGTTTCGTAATTTCTGCTGGAAAAAGGTCATTTTCAGCCTTATAATGCCTGTTCTTATATATTTTGGCACTGCTTTAAAACAAGAGGATTGTATAGATGATGTTTTGGTTAAATTTTGTGGCTTCCTTAATCCTTATTTAAAGTCAGAATATAATTATTCTGAATTTAGGCACAGATGCTTTTGACTTTAAGTATTCAACAGATTATTGAGTATTAAACAGAAATTTGAGTATAATTCTGCTGCTGTCTGTCTTCCACAGGATCTTGATGTGATTTCTTTTTCTCTTGTTCTACTTTTAGCAGGAATCATCAACATTCAAGGAAGTGCCTGTGGTGATAATGTCATCTGAGAACATCGTTACTCGAATCGATAGGTATGGCTGCTTAGACAATTCCTGATAGTTTGATAAGGATTATAAGCTAGTAATAGCAAAGAAGTTTGCTTTACCTAGTGAGCTTGATGTGGTGGTAATAATACTACCAAGCTAATTTATGGTCATATGTTCGAATTCTGCCTATAGGGACGGTGTTGACACATAAAGGGTCCGATTTATTAAGTCCTGCACCTTACCATATAAGAAAAGTATCATGAACTTTACTTTTCATAAAGACCTCTATGAAGTTAAGCTTTGAACCATCTTCTTAATGGTAATTTGGTATACAAATTTGTGATGAAAAATATTAAAGTCATATTCTTGCTCGAATTGCAAACAATGAACTCAGGGTGTGATAAGGCAAATTCAATCCGTTTCTGTTTCTGTTTCATCGGACAAGAAGTTAAATCCTGTCTGACTTTAGACATGCATGAATGCACGCAGATTACTCGTAACCTTAATTGGCATTAGTTTATCTTTGTCAAATATTGCAAATCGCATGCTTAAGATTTGATAATCTTCTTGATAGTGATGTGAACACTATATAGATAATATAATTATCATATGGTCCATTTGGTCAATGGAATTTACACCCACCTTTTGTTTGTTTATCTTATACTGTAGGATCTTGTTTCTTGTACCTACTTGATCTATGATGTCCTTGCTGATTATTTTGATATTCTTCAACTTTAATCTATTCAATGAGATCTTGAAACTATTATATTTAACGATATGCTTTGATCTGGTGACTATTGTAATCAGGTTCCACTAAGTTTAAGGTATTAAGTACCTGTTAAAAATAGGATATTCGATGAGCATAAAGAATAATCCTTAATTAAATCAAGTCAATGACTGACTATATATCATAAGAAACAACAAAATCTATCAATGAATTTCATTATCATATACTCTTAATAATATATCTGAAAGGGTAGAAGATTTCTTCTGTACAATGTTTTTTAAGAAGTGTTGAATTCGTACTTAATAGAAAAAAAATTGTGATACATATGGAGTACAGATTTTTAGCACTTACCGCGCATTATGCTAAAATTTAGGAGTTGCACTATGTTTAATTGGATATAGAACTCACTTTGTCAACACTCTTCGTGTGATGGTGATATAATGTCAGTATTAGATAAGTTATATTAGTGTTTTTTGATGGCATATTCTAGTTTAATGTCTCTAATTATATTGCTGTACATCATAAACATACCTTTTCTGACTTGAGACTGTGCAAGCTCAAGTTTTCTTTTTCTAGTAACTTACCAACACCATTATAATTGTCCTCTATGGCTCAATCAGATGCTTGGAGTTGGGAGCAAAGGATTATATAGTAAAGCCTGTGAAACTTTCAGACGTGAAGCGCATAAAAGAATTCATCATGAGTACAGGTGACTTCGATGAAGCTAAGGAAATTGGTATTTGTAACCCAAGTAGTCTACAGGTTAAAGGTCTGTCATCACCAAAATCATTCCCATCAGCTGCGCCTTCACCTTGCATTATCAATCCATTACGTCTCAGCTTTTCGTGTTCTTCACCAAAGTGTGCGTGCAGATCAAGGCATCTCAGGTTTCGTAGCAGAAGCTTGGAGTATCCTTCAGAGTTGTCGCTACCCTGACCTGTCATTCTCTGGTTTTCTTGTGCCTGAAAGAGAGATTATTTTTTGTGTGCATATGATGAACTGTAAATGAAGAGAGAACAAGAGAAATTCGAGGGAGAAAAGCCGAAAGTCTAGCAAGAAAAAAAGGAATTCTTTTTTCTCTAAATGAAGCTGTAATTTTTTTTTTCTAAAACAATGTATGTTGAAATGGATTTTACTCATAGCAATTAATTTTTGGCCAAGTACCTTTTGAAGAAATTCGTGTGAATTGGTTTTATGCTTGTTATTATAACATGCAAGAAACGAAACAAATCTTCACATAATATGGGGTATGCCTTGTTCAAGCTGTGTTAGTCTTAAAACATGACTAATTACAAACTTATACCAAGTACTTCTTGTCTTCTTGATATAAATTTTAAACCCTTCTTTTGCACAATGAGTATGTGGTTATTGCTATTCCAATGTAAAGTAAATAAAAATTTCTGAATTCGCAATAATGTCCAAATGCATAAATAATTGGATTCCGAAAGTGAGGGATAGCTCAAGTGATTAGATATTCCCTATTCCAGGAGATTATGAGATCGATTCATAATATTGATGAGAGATTCTTTAAGGGAGTCAAATTTTATCATAACAAAATTTGTTTATTTTAGTATTCTAGTGGCAATTTGGTGATGATAAATCTGTATTTTCACAGATTCTTCATTAAAAAAAGTCAGTGAATATTCAGTTGTTTCTATTAGACTCCTTTACCTTAATATGATACTCTGTTTCAAGATACTCTGTTTCCTCCTGTTTTTAAAATTCAGCGATCACCACCATTAACACTTCTCCTCTGACGGCGGCAACAACCCAACCACGTCAAATCATTACAATGGTCCAAGGTATTTATCTCTACTTTTCTAATTTCAACTTATTTTTATTGAAATAATTGAAAATAAGATGAGTAAGAACTATTTATTAATTGGGTGAAATTGGCAAATTGATAAATTGGTTTAAAATAGTAGGGTTTTAGATTAAAAGTAAATTATAAAACTTTAATCTTGGGTTTTCAGGGATTTGTAGAGTTTGATTAGAATTAGAATTGAATTGAGATTTCCTGGTAATTTTGGGTTTTCAGGGAGGAAGAAAAGAAAGGTGGGGGAGGATTCGAAAGTTCTTGGTGAAAGACTTGAGATTATGGTTTCAGAGAAATAAATTGTGTTATGGGATATATTGATATACTTCGTATAAAGGGTGTAAGAGTTACTTATAATATCCTAAATTATTCCTCAATACTCCGTATTATACATTGTTGCATCGAATTAGTAATGTGACAACTAGATTTGAATGGAGTTTATAATCGTGAACATGCATTTGTAAATTATTGAAATACCTGTTGTATTAGTATCTTTTTTATAAATGGCTTGATTTTCTGTTATGTTATAGGATCTTTGAATAGTGAGAATCAAGTACATAATCTTGTAAAACCCCTTTTGGATCATGGTGTTAATAATGCTAAGACAAGAGGGTGTGATACTGTGACTCCTTACGAAAATGCCGGTTTTTTCCATACTCTCTTCTTCTCTTGGTTAACTCCTTTACTTGCATTGTGCATCGAGAAATCAACCTTAGAGCTTGAAGGTATTCCTCAACTAGGCCCTTCTAATAGTGTGTTTGGAGTATTTCCAGTGTTCCAAAGGCTTTTTGAGTCATCGTCACAAGCTGATAAACAAGATAATAGTCGAGCTGTTACTACTGAGTTTAGGCTTGCAAAGGCATATTTCTTGTTGGTTTGGAAGGAAATCGTTTGTACAGCCCTCTTAGGGATAATATACACACTAGCTCAATTTGTTGCTCCATATCTTATTGATAGCTTTGTTCAATGCCTTAATGGTATTGAGTCTTTTAAAAACCAAGGCTATATTCTTGCTTTTACATTTTGTGCAACAACTTTTCTTGAGGATTTCATTCAGAGACATTGGATCTTTAAGATGCAACAGATTGGAATTAGGATTCGAGCAGTGACAACTTAAGAGCTTGACCCTTCCTTCTTGGTTGCCACACTTACAAGGCGACCAGATGGGAAGTGGTGGTAGTGGAGGAGAACTTATCAATGCTGTGGCTGTTGATGTTGAGAGAATCGAAGGTTTCGTTGTCTACATGCATGATACATGGTTAATCTTTTTCCAAATCGGTTTAGCCTTGCTAATTTTATACAACAAGTTAGGATTTCTTGCCACCATTGGTTCTTTTGCTGTAACAATAATTTTTGTGGTAGCAAACTCTCTATTTATGACATGGCAGGAGAAGTTTCAAAAAAAGCTTATGGAATCTAAGGATAATAGAATGAAGGCAACTATTGAGACTTTAAGGAATATTAGAGTTCTTAGATTTCAAGGATGGCAGATGAGTTTTTTGTCTAAGATTTTCAACTAAGAGAAGTGGAGATGCAATGGTTGAAGAAATATCTATATAGCTCAGTAGTGATGGGTTTTTTTTTATGAGATAGGTCCAACTTCAGTGGCTTTGGTTGCTTTTGGCTCCTGTATATATATGGGAATCCTACTTGACATGGGGCAAATTTTGTCTGCACTTGCTACCTTTCGGGTTCTTAGACAACCCATCTTCCTCCTACCTGATACTATATCCTTGCTAGTCCAAGCCAAGGTTTCCCTTGGGAGAATCGCCTCTTTTCTTTCCCTCAATGAGCTCCAAGATGATGGTTTAGAGAAGCTGCCATTGGGCAGTTCTGATACATCAGTTGAGATTATTGCTGGGAACTTCACTTGGGATAGTACTTCTTCATCTACTACTACGGCAACATTAAAAGACATAAATTTAAAAGTGTCTTGTGGTATGAAGGTTGGCATATGTGGTACAGTTGGTTCAGGTAAGTCGAGCTTACTTTCTTGCATTTTGGGGGAAATGCCTAGGATCTCAGGGGTAGTTAAGCTGTGTGGGACAAAGGCTTATGTTGCTCAGTCACCTTGGATACAGAGTGGTACGGTTCAAGAGAACATATTGTTTGGTAAGGATATGGACCGACAAAGATATGATCAAGTACTCGAAGCTTGTTGTCTTAAAAAGGACCTGGAAGTCCTTTCATTTGGTGATCAAACTATTATTGGTGAAAGAGGTATCAACTTAAGTGGTGGGCAGAAGCAAAGAATACAAATTGCTCGCGCTCTCTACCATGATGTGGATATTTATCTATTTGATGACCCTTTTAGTGCTGTTGACGCTCATACTGGTTCTCATTTATTCAAGGTGAAGTATTTATACTATTTATTTTTTACATGTTATAAGTAGTAAGACTATTAAAGTTTTGATTTGGTAATACTATCTGATTTTGGATTACAGGAAGTATTGCTTGGCGTACTGAAAGGTAAAACTGTCATTTATGTTACTCATCAAGTTGAGTTTTTAAACACTGCTGATCTAATTGTGGTAAGTTCAGTAATAGTCTGTTTTCTTCATTTTATTTCATTTTGAGGTCATCAAGTCATCTGAGTTTTTAATGATCTTATGTATTTCTTCTAAGGTCATGAGGAAGGGTTGCACAAGTTGGAAAGTATGAAGACATTCTCGTTCCAGGGTCTGATTTTATACAGCATGTAGGTGCACAAAATGCAGCTCTATCGGCACCTATATCCGCAGACAATACAAAAAGTATAATCAGACTTGAAAATATGAATAGTGAAGTATATGATGACAGGGGTGCTGCTAGTTCTGAACCTGCAGCACAGCTCGTAAAAGAAGAAGAACGTGAGAGAAGTAAAGTCGGGTTCCATGTCTATTGGAAATATATCACTACAGCATATGGAGGAGCTCTTGTGATTCTTGTAATTCTAGCCGCAATTATGTTACAAATTCTTCAAATAGGGAGCAATTATTGGTTGGCTTGGGCAACTCCATCGTCAAAGGATGTAAACCCTGCTGTTAGTGGATCTACGCTACTGATTGTCTATGCATCCTTGGCTATTGGCATATGTTTCTTCACCCTTGTTGTAGACACGCTTCTTGTAGCCACGGGATATAAAACTGCTATCATACTTTTCAAAAAAATGATGGACACCATGTTTCGTGCTCCTATGTCCTTTTTTGATGCTACACCTGCTGGAAGAATTCTTAACAGAGTAAGTGATCTATCATCCACTCTTTTTTTTTTTTTTGGTTCACAAATTATATATAAGTGACAAAAGTATGTTTTGGTCATATAAGTATAAATTTACATTTGAGATACTAGTTTCAATTTTCATTTTACTGATTAGTTTGATACACTTCCTCTGATATAGTGTTCTACTGATCAAAGTGCTGTGGAGACTCGAATTCCGTCCATACTTGAGGGTCTAATTTCCCTCACCATCCAACTTCTAGGAGTTATTGCTTTGATGTCTACCGTAGCATGGGAAGTTTTGGTTATATTCATCCCCTTGATCTTCGCCTCCATTTGGTATCAGGTAATGCTTTAAAAATGGTGATTCTATATTTTCAGTATGCAGTAGCTGGCAATAATGTAACAAACACTAGTCAAATATTATATGTAGCAATACTATATGCCTGCATCAAGAGAATTATCACGATTGAGTCGAGTATGTGAAGCTCCAGTTATTCAATATTTTTCTGAAACAATTTCGGGAATAACGACTATAAGAAGCTTTGATCAAGAGTCAAGATTACAGCCAACATATATGAAAATTGTAGATGCATATTCTCGCCCTGAATTCCAACTTGCTGCTGCAATGCAATGGCTAATGTTGCGGCTGGATGCATTCTCTTGTATTACATTTGCCTTCCTTTTGGTTCTCTCTTTGTACTTCAGAGAAAGCATAGATCCTGGTATGTTTTAGTAGTGTATATATCTTTTTCTTTATTAATTTCCCTTTATAATGGTAAATATGATAAGGACTAATATAGTAATATAAGTTTTATATCATGTGCAGCAATTGCAGGGTTAGCTGTGACATATGGACTCACCCTAAGTTTTAATCTCTCTGCATTAATATGGTGTTTATGCCATTGGGAAACCAAAATGATATCAGTTGAGAGAATTCTTCAGTACATGACCATTCCTAGTGAAGCTCCTCTTATTATTCAAGAAAACAGGCCAGTTAGTTCCTGGCCGTCACGTGGTGAAATAAGTATTCACAATTTGCAAATTCAGTATGCTCCACATTTGCCATTCGTGCTACACGGGGTGACATGCACTTTTCCTGCAGGGCTCAAAACCGGTATTGTAGGAAGAACGGGAAGTGGGAAATCAACTCTAATACAAGCACTTTTTCGGATAGTTGAGCCTACAAAAGGTCATATTGTGATTGATGACATTAATATCTCATCCATTGGACTCCAAGATTTGAGATCAAAACTGAGCATTATTCCTCAAGATCCAACCATGTTTCAAGGAACTATACGAAGTAATTTAGACCCGCTTGAGCAGTACACAGATGCACAGATATGGGATGTGAGTGTTTTTTTTTTTCTTTTGGTGTTTAATTGAAGGATTAACCATACATTCTTACTTGTGTGTTGTATAATTTATTTATAGGTTTTGGATAAGTGTCAACTTGGAGATGTATTCAGGAACATGGAAAGAAAGTTGGATTCTAATGGTATTAATTTCTTTCCTATCACACTTACAATATATTTTGTAGGTTTTTTTTTTTTTTTTTTTTTATGATCACATACTAATTCCAATGCATTTTTTTCCCCAACAACGTATATATAGTTCATGAGAACGGGGAGAATTGGAGCATGGGTCAGAGACAACTAGTTTGTCTTGGGCGAGTATTACTCAAGAGAAGCAAAGTGTTGGTCCTTGATGAAGCGACTGCATCAGTTGACACAACCACTGATAATCTTATACAACAAACTCTCAAACATCATTTTGCAGATTGTACCCTTATTACCATTGCACATCGTATCACTTCTGATCTTGACAGTAACATGGTCTTGTTTCTTAGTCATGGTACAATCAATTTCCCTCCATGTACCATGGCTCGTTGAGGAATGGGATCCTCCTACAAGCTTGTTACAAAACAAGAATTCTTTATTCTCAAAACTTGTTAAAGAGTATACGTCAAGGTCCTCTAATTCAAGTGACCACCCTTTTTAGACCGTAGTATACTCATGAAGAATAATAGATGATGCTGTGTCATTGATATGGTGCTAGTGCGGGTCAATTGTTGCTGGCTTGCTGCTCCAGAGTCCAGTCTTTCCCTCCACCCTTGGTCCGAAAACTCATCAGATGGATGTAGGCGCAAACTAGGGGTAAAATTATAATCGTATATTGATAGAGACTTGATATCAGTTAGGACTTAGGAAGTAGAGTCAATCCATTGCATTACCATACAATTCAAGAGTATTGAGCTTGACATGGGTGTTTTTGACAAGACAACAGGAGATAGTCAATCATTTTATGAACCCAATAATAAACTGAGTGTTTTACTCCTATACGGTGTATGCCAAAGATTTAGATTAACTTGTTTTCATTCTCCTTTTGCTGGTTTATGCCTAAATTTTAGATCAACCTGTTCCCTTTTCTTTTTCACATATTTTTTATGAATTCGATGAAGTGTGGATGATGGCTGATTCTGGAAGATGAAGATCATAGGTAATATCAATAACTCGGTCTTAATTATGACCTTCTTCCTACTTACATTTCTAAAACATGTGAAATACACATTTTTTTTAATTGCTGTGTTGTTTTTTAGTTGTTACTTGTTATGATTTGCAAAGCATTATTCAGGCAAACCTGCTTTTGTTGTTTAACTATAGTTTTCTTGATATCGTACTTATGAAGGATCAATTAACCTGCTGTCACATAACTACATTACTTGATGCTGTGAATTAAATGTGTGAAGTTTCATAAGCATGTGAACTTGCATTTTCTTTACCTTCAAACACAAAATATATTTTTAGTCCAACTGGCGTAGATGATGGGGCTTAGTGATGGTCGTGTAATTTTGAGTCTTCATCTGTTTATATAAGCTTACTAATTTTGAGTCCTCTAGGACTATGGTGGTATGTGTCTTTACTAGAAAATTAACAAGGAAATTATAACTGAGCCAGCAGCCAAAGTGGCTTGAATTTGATGAAGTGGTGGTCTTGGGCAGGGCAGCGTTGCTGTTACATTTTATTGCTGTGTTTCCATTTAATTAACACAAATTCCCCCTTTAACTTTCTGCAACTAACTGGAGCTCTTAATCTACATCCTGGCAGTGATCATTTAAAAACAACGTGATACAGATTACAGACTACTTAAATAAAATTTAAAATTTTACAAGTTATATACTTCAATCTTGATCCCTAGTGTAGTTTTACCTATGAATAATTGCGGCTTCAAGAATGTCTAAGCTTTGTGCCACCTCTGTCTCCGAATGCAATTTTACTAGCAAAGGTTCTGTTTTGTGGCTGCCTCTATTTGTTACAGTGAATGCAGATTTTACTAGCAATGGATAGTGTTCCCAACTTCCCACTGTCTGCATTCCTGAGAATTACAACTGTTATTTGTGATTTTAGAGGCACAAAAACTGCAGAATCTGTAACTCCCAAACGCTGCATGTTTTTCAGCCTGTGATTGCTTAATTATATATAAATGAGTTTTATTCTTGATTGGAAGTTGCTAGATCTCTGTATAAATGCCACTATGGGTTTGTTTTATAGCATATTCTTGAGACAGAAATGCTTGTATTTTGTAATTGTAACAGCAGCAAATAGTTTAATGGAGTTTTAAAAGTAAGGGTTGTCACATGTTGGAGTTTATGTATTAGAAAATGTGTCTTGAATGTTTTTTGAAACTGCACTTTAAGTATTTGAACTATTGGATCAGAGTAACAGCTGAAAACAATGATTCCCATATGTTAGAAGAATCAGTGTCCAGGTTGAAGGAGCACAAGGCCAAGGAAGAGGAGAGGCCTAGGGAAACAGGAGAGTTAGACCTTTTCTGGGCTACAGGAACGTGTGAAGAAGGATCCCTGCTGTCTATATTCACTGATGGAGCTGGAAAAAGGACAAAGGGGGGAGAATCACGGCATGCATAGGATGGGTCATAATGAAAGAACACACAGAGGTTGCGAGGGGAGGGAAAGTTGTGATGGCACAATCACCGCTGCAGACGGAGCTGATGGCAATCCAGGAGGGTGTACTTCATGCACAGGGATTGAGCAAGTCCATTGAGGTTTGTACAGATAGCATGGTAGCAAGGCAGTGCATCCAGCACCCTATTGATGCGCCTTGGGATATTCGTAGGTTAGCCCAGGACATTAATAGCCGTAGTAAAATTTTCGTTTATTTCTGTTGTAATAAGGTTCCTTGTACCGTTGTCTCAAGGGCCCACGTATTAGCCCAGGAGGCAAGGAAAAAACGAGGTACTTATTGTTGATTCAAAATTACTTGTTTGCGTGTTGTAAAAAAAAAAAAAAAAAAAAAAAAAACATTGTTTTATCCTGCCTATTTTCATGTTAATTTTCTCATAGCTAATTGATATTGTGGCTCTCCTCGAGTCCTCGTATATACAAATGAGAAAATGCCTGATAATCTTTTAGTTTATGTATCCCTTCGGTAAGGGAATGAACGAGGCTGTAATCAAGCACTTTGCACTAGCTAGTAGTCCACTGGATTTCTATTGCTCAATATTAAAATGAGGCAATCTGACGGTTTTAAACGGAAAATGAGGTAACAATAAGGGATGGAGGGAGTATCAAAGATTTAAGGACCGATCCATCCGTGTTAGATTATTTCCCTATGACTTGTCTTTGAATACAATGTAAATTAATACGGGCACATTCTCACATTAATACTCCGAGAATACAAATACAAGTAAATCATTGTGTGTGAGACTTTATCTTCCCCAAACAGTATTCCACCCCCCAAATTGATTTCAATGGCGGAATCAAGCAGCAACCAGATCACAACATCCGACGCCGAATTGCCAGATTTGCCGACAGAATTGTGGAGGGAGATCTTTGCTAGGCTGCCGGCGAAAACCCTAATTCGATTCAGGTCTGTTTGTAAAACCTGGTGTTCTTTAATCGATTCCTCTGATTTCATTCTTATGCATCTTCAAATTTACATCAACAATCATAGTAGAGACACATGTAGGAAAATTGATCAACTTTTCGGAATTCCTGAGAATTGTTATGGGTTGATTTTGAATAGCATTATGTTCTATAATCAAGTCATTGCCCTTTTGTATCAATGGGATA